CCTGTGGCAGCTCTCCAGGGTGTCGCTTGCCCCAGCTGTTGCTTTTGGGAAGTGCGTAGGTGGTGGGCAGAAGAGAAAGGTTCTGTTTGACTTGATGGCTTTCCATTAAGCCGTAGAGAAAAATCACAGGTGTGCGGCGGCCATCCGGTCTTTCCAGCCTTCCCTCCGGAGACCCAGACCCCGCAGGAAGCCTCGCTTGGTAGGAAAAATCTTTTAAGCTCCAGGTTTTTCCATTCCTGTTTTGATACTGGAAAAAAAAAAAGCCAACCAAAACCCCCAAAGTTCTACTACTTTTCAAACAGAGAAAGGGGAAAAAGAAAAATCTCTTGTGACCACTGGGCCTAGGTGAAACCCAACCACAGTCTTTCCAAGGTTGACTTGTTCTTAGATCTCCATGAGGGAAGACTGGTGAGGTGGCTTGCAAGTATGTCATCTGGAAAATGCCTGCCTCTGATTTTTCTTTATTTATTTAAAAAACTGAGGTCCTGCAATCTTGGCGAAGGTGGGGGAGCACATTAGCCCCTCTGAGTGGGCCAACAGTGTTTCATACGGCGCCTTGTTCCTGCTTTTGGAGCCTTGCAGAGCGATTTGCAGAGCCGGAGGCTGAATTCTATCTGCGTGTTTCGGTGCAAGCTGGACCTGGCACGGCAGAGCTGTGGCAATCCTACACAGCACGTAGGAATTTGTTTCGGCTTTGTATCATCGCCACCTTGCCTGCGATAGCTCTGGCTTTCTCTTTCCCAGGGGGGAGAGGGCTGTTCTGCGATCCGCGGGGGCTGGAGTGACGAGGGGTGCTGAGGTGGAAAGCACAGTGGGGGAAGAATCTGGAGCTCAGAGGCTTGGGCAATGGGAAAACCAACAATTCAGCTTTGATTTTCACCCCTTTTTTTTCCAAGCGAGTAGCAAAAGCGAATGGGTTGTTTGGTAGGGATTGTCGTGTGGTTTCTTTTGTCTCTCGCCGTCTGAGAGCGGGTTTGTCGTAGGCAGCTCGGCGTCGCGGGGAGCTCAGGAAAGCAGCTTTCGCAGGGCAACTCGGTCCCCGGAAAGGGGATGCTGAGCAATGACTGCAAGTTCACTGTTTTTTGGAGCACCGTCCCTTTCTTAGGACAGAAATAGCATCTTATTTTTCTGCTCAGCTGTGCTCTCATCATACTGTTTGCGCCCGTTTAGATGTATATGTGACATTAAGGATTATTAGGGGCTTTTATTTTAGGAAATGAATTTGCATCCATCAAGTGTTCTTAAAAGCCCTGGATGTTTTTGGCTGTACCTTCAGAATTGACTTCTGCAAACTCTTCAGATACCGAGCGAAGGAGACGGGGGGAAGGAAGTCAGGCTGCGGGCAGGGGGAACATTTATATTCTAGCCTGAAGCAAAGTTTTGGGTTTGCCTTTCTCGGATGGCGGAGAGATCCCCCCCATTGCCAGTACCTCCGGTGGGACTTGCTTGATAACCTTTAGCTGTAACATTGCAAAGAAGACTCTGACCTCTAAATATAGATCTGGGTATTTATAAATCCGATGCTTTGTACACACAGCATTCGGTGGGTCGTAAACAGCTCCAGCAAATTGTATTTACCTCCAGCATGGAAACAAATGCTTGATTGCATCACATGAGCTTGCTCAGTGGCTTTTATTTATATACTGCTGGCCACACCGGGCAGCGAAGGGGAGAGTGCTTCCTTTTGTCTTTCAACCCCTGAAAGAATCTGGAGATTTCTCTCTAGCTACCATTTTCCCCCTTCTCAAGCTCTTTGCTAGGCTGTTCACATCTTATTTTGTAGAACCGAGTATGTACGTATAAATACACACATTTCACAGTCATGTGGTCTGCTTTCCTCAAGAATAACAGACGGCAGCTTTATGATCTGAGTGATTTTATTTGAACACAGCTGCGGCCTTGTGATTTAAATATTTCAATAAATTTTAAGCTAACTAGATGAGAGGAAACTGTGCAGGGAAAACAGGTTAAAGCACGGAAGGAGGATTCCCTGAGGGAGGAGGCAATATGGGCTCTGCGCAAACGCTCCTGGCCTCGTCTTCCTCTCCTGAGAAGACCTTGACACCTTCCTTGGTAAGAAAACCCACCGCAACATCCTCTCCTCTGCTTGCAGAGGTGCTCTTGAAAGCAGTCGGGCATGGGTGGAAATCAGTGGCAGGGGGTGAGGGAGAGGTGCCGTGAGCTCAAGTGTTGTTCCTTTGGGTCCAGGCTGGCTAAAACGCAGCCCCAGGCTCCGAGTGTGTTTGTTCAGGCATCGCTGCGCCTTCGAGCGTCTGGTTATGAGAGGAGTTAGAGGAGCTTTTACCTTCTCCTTTCAGCAGCAAGAATTCCTTGCTTTTCTCGGATGGCTCGTGAGGAGAAGCAGGCAAGGGGGAACCACCGGAGCCAACTTGGCCACCATGTTCTTGGGCTTGACAGCTGGATTGTTTTGAAGTGATCACAGCTTTGTTGGGCTGTATCCTATCGACTCGCCTGTTCCAAATACCTGTTGCTGTGTAAATGTACCAGTGAGGGCCAGGGGGAGGATTTGCAGATGAAAACAGAGGTTCTACAAGCCAAGATTTCGCCTCTTAAAGCCACTGGCATCAGCCTGTTCCACGCTGTCATCCTCAAGATCTCTCATGTTCCAAGTTCCTGCTCCATTGATTTCATGGTCCTTCTCCCACCTTTCACCTTGGCTCTGTTCCTACAAACCTCTCCCACTCCTTTGTGTTTTGGTCATCTGCTAGGATCTGTAGAGTGCAGCTCAGTGTTTCTAGATGTTGTTTTCAGCTCTACCAGCTTTTGGAGATGGTCATTAGATGGGTTTTGCAAAGGCAAAACCCCTGCACACAACGGTTTACAAGTCCAGTTTTCAGAAGTAAAAGAGGCTTTGCCACATCATTGAATTGAAGTCTTTTTGTAGGATCAGGCCCTTAATCATTGTGCGCTGTAGCTTCTTCCTGTGTAAAATGGAGATAAAGACTATTTGTTCCTAAAAGGCCAAGAGGTCTAATTTCATCCGGGATCATTAGAGAATAACAGTGATAATGCTACTGTTAATTACAAACACTGTTTATTAGAGTTTGTCTTTTCTTTGTGGCAGTGATGATATTTCCTTTTTTTCTTCAAGGTCCCCCCGTGTTCATTAAAAAACCTGTGGACCAAATTGGTGTGTCGGGAGGAGTGGCCTCCTTTGTATGCCAGGCAACCGGAGACCCCAAGCCACGGGTCACCTGGAACAAGAAAGGGAAGAAGGTGAACTCTCAGAGGTTTGAGGTAAGATGCGTCCTTGAAATCTGTGTCTGTGTATGTGGAGAGAGAGACTGACACAAAGCAGCCAGTGCTCTTCTTTGACCATTCTCAGACCCGATAATGAAGGGAGGTTTGGAAGGGGAGGAGTTTCAGCAGGGGAAGGGGT